TGCAATGTGGAACCGGCACCACAGGGCTAGGAACTAACCAGTCGTAAGTAAAAGGCTGTAGCTATGCCTTACAAGTATCAGCGGTGGGTGATGAAGTGACAGGGGGAGCTGCTAATGATGATGTCAGTTGGCTTGGGAAAAGCAAAGCAATTTCTCTTGAATAACAGCTAGATGCTAAAGATGCTGCCCCCCGCCCCCCCATCCCCCCACAGAGTGATTTCGTTTTTGTTTTTTTCTTCCTTAGTGACGGAAGTTTTATAGCTAAAATTTTATAGCTATTGTGAGGAAAGAAAGTTCTTGCAGGGGCATAAACACCACCACAAATTCTCGATCTAGATTCCCTTAATTCCCATTGAAATAACAGTATGCGATGCTATTTTAAAATATTTATTAGGGAAGCAATTATCATACATCACAGTACAACTTTATAGTTTGTTGTTTTTAAAAAACTCTTTGTCTTAACATTCTATTTCCTGCTTGCTCTTCTCCAATGAACGCCAAGCCCGATGCTCGGTGCCCTGGGGGTGCAGCAGTTAGTGCCCTCTGTTTACCCAACAACCCCTCAGGCTACTGATTGAAGACGACAGCCTTGCATGCTCCATGGGGCGGCTCCCAGGTCCCGTATGGCTGCCATGAATCAGAATAGGCACAACGGCTGTGGAGAAAGGCCCTTCCTGTCTTCTTCAAAGCTGGGTGCATTCAGAACCCATGGTGCATGCCACAGGGGGTACCCATCTGTGACTGAACCCACTGAGGGCAACTGGCTCTAATGTCGTACAGAGTGACAGCCTCGGAAACCCACAGGAGTTCTACCCTGTCCTATAGGGTTGCTCTGAGTCGGCATTGACTTGACGGCAGTGCTTTGGTGGGTTGTGCAGCCTATGCGGCACTTAGCTTTCCATTTTCAATGACCCCTCACCAGGTGCACAATACTGCCCCTGAATAGCAATTTAAAGAGTGCCCATCCCCTGTAGTCGGATGAGTATCACTTCTATCAAAGAAAATGAACCAAAGAGCCATCAAAATCCTCTGGAGCTCGTTGTCTAAGAGGAGGCTGCTGGGCTCAAGTTCAAGTTCAGAGTCTTCAGGGTAAGACTTGTGGGACCTAGCTGGCCACACAGGCAGGAGCCAGTGGACCAGTGTGGCCCGGCACGGTCATGCTGCTGTGCAAGAACACAGTGGCAGCTTTGTACAAGGCTGAGGGTCATGGTGAGTGCAGACTGCTGAATTCCTCAGGAGCAATAGGGGTTCTACTAAGACATCTCAGTGCTCAAAGATGGGAGCATTTCTATGATGGCTAGGTTTTGTGACAACTGGAAGCAGCTGTGGGAAGGAAAGGGTGTAGCCCAACCTCTCAATCAGGATACTACCCAGTGACGTCTCCTTGGGGTTGTGGGCTCTATGTAAGAGACGCTGTGGAGACCTGGGGAGCCCCATGGCCTAGTAGTTACACATTTGGCCTTTGAAACCTTCAGCCGCTCTGCTGGAAAGAGATGAGGCTTTCTACTCCCCCAAAGAGCTACAGTCTCAGAAGCTCACAGAGGCAGCTCTACCCTGTCCTCTAGGACCGCCTGGACGGGGAATCCACCCGATGGCACGGAGTTTGGTTTGTGGAGACCTGGCCTCTCTCGCTCACCTCGCTTCTCCTTTCTGCTTGCTTGGCTCCTGCATCTGGTTCTGGGGCCCACAGCCCATATGGCTGACTGATGGCCCTGGGAGCTGCCATGTTCCTGTGCCAACTTAGGACCCACAAGACTGTCCCCACTGGCCTGTGACCCTCTTCCCTTCCCGCTTCCTCGGCTGGCAGCTGCGTGAGTCTGGAAGGGTCTCCAGGTAGCATCTGACCCATGGACTTGAGCTGGCCTGGGCTGGGCCACTTCCTTGATATAAAGTTCTTTCTTACACATATACGAGTATTACTGGTTTTGTTTCTCTAGAACACCCAGCGTCATACCATCACCTATAGCCAAGTTCACCATCACTTCTTGGGTGTGAAGCTAGTGAACTCACTGAAAACCCTAATACGACACGTCGGGAAGCAGTATGTCAGGTAATATCACAAAACAGAGCAGAGCAGAAGATACCAAGAAAGCCATTCTCCAAGCACCTGGCCCTCAAGTGCGAGTCCTCCCCAGTGTGTATAACCTCAGTTTTTGTTTATACCTGGAATCGGCTCAACTGCCTGGTATAAGGGCCCGGTCCCCAAGACTAGCCTCCCTCTGACATCAACTCCCAAGTTCAGGGCACTTCCCAAGCCATCCTGGGTTTGATGGTTTAGAAGTAATTCAGGAAAGCACTTGGTAAAAGCTCTCAGACTCACAAGCCAGAGGAAGAGAAGCATGCATCAGAGCCAGGATGCAAGGCTTCAGGAGGTGTTATCCTTTGTTAGCGTGTGTGTGTGTGTGTGTGTGTGTGTGTGTGTGTGTGTGTGTGTGTACACGTACACACATCCCCGTCCGGCCATAACACAGAGTGACACTTGAACCAGGGAAGTTCAAAGTCCCAAGTTTTCACCGGGGCTCCCTTGCGCAGGCATGATGAATGTGCCCAAGTGGGTGAACTCAGTCTCCAGCCCCAGAAGGACATGACAATGACTGTCCCCTCATTAGCATAAACCACCAGGTCTGGTTGCAGAGGCCACCAGGACCAAGGAAGACACTCCAGTCCTCTGGGGGCTCCCCAGGGTCAGTGGCAGGGATGGTGGCAGACCCTCTCCCACAAGGCCAAAACTCTTTCCAACTTCTAGCAAGACGCTGGCTGTGCTGGAGAAAAAAATACCCAAACCAAAGACAAGCCCACAGCCAGAGTACATTTCAATTCATGAGGATGCGAGTTAGGGTTTCAGAGACCATACATCTTTATGGGAGCAGATAGTCTCATTTTTCTCCCAAGGAGTAACAGGTGGGCTTGAACCACTGACCTTGTGGTTACCAGCCCAATGCCTAATCTACAGTGCCAAAATGAAACTCGCGGCCATCCAGTCATTTCTGACAGTGACGGCCCCTTTGGGTTTCAGAGGCTGTAGCTCTTTACGGGAGTAGAACACCTCATCTTTCTCCTACGAAACATCTGGTGTTTTCCAACTACTAGCAGCTAGCAGCCTGTGTCCAGTGCTCTACAGGAACACAGAAACCAGGGCACTCACTTGGTGGGGCACCACCCAAGCAGTTCCTGATAAATCAAGACCTGATGACAAAGAACTGATGGGCCCAGAGGCGACTGACCTTATTTACCATCCTGTTCTATCCTACCCAGCTCCCCCTTAGCCACCCACCAGAGCTAAACTGGGTACCCGCTAACATTCCACCAACGGTTGCCTTCCGAATGCCCCGCCTCCTAAATACCGGCAGTCTTCTTCCGGCCTCACAGAAAGCATCTCCTTTAGGAAGATCTCACGGGTCATTTTTGCCAGAATTGACCTTCCTCTTTGATTTGCCTTAGGTTTATTTAATCGTATACTTCCCATCTCAGAAGCCCATGGGGAGGTTCTACGCTGTCCTGTAGGTTCCTCTGAGTCGGCACCGACTCAATGGAGGTGAGTGGAGTTTTACTTCATAATCGAGAACTACACCCGTGCCAAGTCCAAAGTTCTCACTACAGTAAGATTTACAACAAGGAAGAAGAAGGAAGGAAGGAAGGAAGGGAAGTGGGGAGGGAGGGAGAGGAGATGGGGAGCATCTTGGAAACTCATATGTAAATAATAACAATTTGTACTTTATCAAGGGGTCATCAGGAGGGGGGGGCGGAGGGAGGGAGGGAGGAAGAAAAAGAGGACGCCAAGGGCTCAAATAAAAAGTAAATGTTTAGACCCAACGATGGCAACCTATGTACAAATATGCTTGAGACACTGATGTGGAATTGTTATAAGAGCTTTAAGAGCCTTAAATAAAATGATCTTTTAATAGAAAAATCACTAAAACAACAAAAACAAACAACGCCCTGCCCCGCCCCCCCTCCAAAAAAACCTCATGTGTATGTCCAAATGTATCTAAATTAAGATCTTGGTGTGGGGGGTGGGGGACACACGGGACTCTCTCCCCTGTCCAGGAGGATAAATTTACATTGGAACACTAGAATTTTTGTGTCTTCAAATAAACCTCAAGCCATCCTTAGAAACACACACGCATTTTAAAATCAACATCAAAATGCCATTAATATCTATTACTACAGAGCTTGCACTGTAGCAGGAAGTGATGGCTCCGCCTCAGGGTGTAATCATTTTATAAAATGCTTATAAACACGCCCGAGGAGGAGGTCAAAACCCAATGCAATCTCTCAACGAAACCTGTCACAACACCTTCTTCTGCTGCGGTAATTTGCACGTGTGCTACGCACAGGGGTTACACAATGGAGCCGCTTACACGCTCAGGAACATTCTGGATGATGTTTTCCTCCCTAATGCGAGGAGTGACAGCGAGGGAAAGCCCCGGGCCGGGGGTCACAGACACTCTGCTCCATCAATTGTGGAGCATTCGTTTGAACAGCCCAAGGCCTAGGAGAGGCAGCGATTGAACATCACCTTCATAATCAAGGGCAAAGCAGAGCCTGAGATGTAAATGCATTCAAGGTGCAGGTGAAGATACAGGAACGGCTGAGAACAGGGAAAGGGGGGACCCCCACATGTGGGCAAGCCCATCATTTGAGGCTACAGAGGAGAGCGAGTTTTTGTGCTTCCACTTGGGGAGGCAGCACTCTCCCCCCCCTTCAACAGCAAGGGCACCCAACTTTGTAGGCTGCTTCACACGACAACGTCATGCTCACTGCTTTCCGTTTCCCCCTGGTCCAGCTAACAGGCTGAGCTGCAACAAGCGCTCCTGGAAGACTCGTCCCTTGAATCTAAATTCCACTACAGCCAAGAACAAGGCTTCCTTCTCGCACCCAAGACCACGCCCCAGAATGCCACAGGATTACATGGCAGTTCAGCAGCCATCCAAAAGCAACCCGACTACACTGCCCCCCACCAGACACAGTGAGCAGCAGTGATGCGGTGACACACTTACTTGAACTTCCCTTCCACTTCCTCGGCAGCTTTCTGATACTGCTCTGTGGTGATTTTGTAGAACTGGGAGCTCTGTGGACAGAGAAAGAGAGAGGGGGCTGTCAGGACCCAGAAAGACAGCATCGTGCGCACAACTTAACTATTTCACCCAACAGACAAAGTCTCATTTTTGGCTACTCAAGCAGTAGTGGCTCCGAGGCACTTGTGAAAATTCCTTTCAATAACAGCATAGAGGCTGGCGGAGAGGTGTGAGAACTAAATGAACATTCAGAGTTAGACGTCGTCGTCATCTGATTGTGCAGGGAAGGTTCCCGAAATACCTGCTGGAAGGCTCTAGCTGACCCAACACTGGCCCCCACTCACATTGGCCTCCTGCTCCACTGCATATCAAAGGGGGCACACTTCTACAAGCTATTTTTCCCTCAAGAGGGATTTTTTAGATATCAATCATTTTATTGGAGGCTCTTACAGTTCTTATAACAATCGGTACATCAATTGTCTCATGCACATTTGTCCGTATGCTGCTATCATCATTTGCAAAACATTTTTTTTTTTCCTGTTTGAGCCCTTGGTATTAGCTCCTTCTTTTTTAAATACTTTTATTGGGGGCTCTTACATCTCTTACCACAATCCATACATTCCTCCAATGTGTCCAGTACTTTTGCACATATGCCACCATCCTCACTTTCAAAGCATTCTCTTCCCACTTGAGCCCCTGATAGCAGCTTCCCATCTCTTCCCCCTGGGATTTTTTTTATGGTGTGGAATTTATCCCAGTATTTACCACCCACCAAACTGTGGCCATCCACACAACTGTGCGACCACCAATGTTAGCAAATTAAACAGTCCTCTCCTGACACCAGAAGAACTACCACTGCTCACATTAGAGGTCTTGAACAGTCGGAGAAGAGCGTAGAACAGGAATACACAACAGAGAGTAGGGTTACTGGTGGGACAGTAAACTACGGCCCTCACCCTTCAGCTCTAGAACTGAACTCTCTCCACATCAGAATCACCAGGCTTCTGAGATCGAAAGGGCAGCATTTGCCTGAGGACCAGGGTCAGAAGGGCAAGCAGAGGAGGGGACTGGGGTCGGGCAGCCCTGGGAGGATGTCCAATAAGAGACGGAGGGGAGGGCAATGGGCGAGCTGGATGGGTGTGGACATGAAGGGTGGAATGCAAGATGACGGCCTGCTCACTTAATGCGCAATAAACAGTTAAAAACAGCTTGCACATGCTAACACACGTTTCTAGGGTGAAATGAATGTGCACAGAGGCAGTGCAAACAGGTGGCAGTAAACAAGAAGCATGACCCCTTCTGGCTGGCTACTTTGAAACCAGTCTGATCTTGAGGGGCTGAGACCCTCAACAATCCCATGAGCCCTTACATTCTAATGGAATATCCTGCGGAACAAAAGGCACACTGGCAGATCCCACAAAACAATGGTCTACAGTAACACTCCCCCGCCCTCCCGTCCCAAGCCCTTGGGTGTCACTCGAGTGGCTGGGGGGTTGTTTATTTTTGAATACATCACTGTTGCTGGGTAAGAAAATGAAAATGAAATCCCCTTCACCCTTGTGACCCCCTTTGTCTTCAACAATCTGTGCTGGCCCATGACAGTCACATCCAGGTTCCTGGGATGCAGATAAAATCGATAGGTATGTGATTAGACAGCGGGCCCAGGGTGGCGGCAGACGGGACAGGTCGTCGCTGGAGATGATGGATGGCCTGCCATCAAGCCCGGGTCCCGGCTGATGCTAACATTTACTATAATCTTATTTGGGCTGCGATTTATCTTTCTTGCACCTGATCAATAAAGATGAACAGAACAGTTGTAGGGATCGATTGTAATTTTTTATCATTTTCAAGCGTGAAGGTGCATTTGTGACGGGGAGATAATATCCTAATCCTACAAGTTTCTGCCTTCTGTCTTGGCTTCCTTCTTGCCGTGTGAACGATTGCCGCACCACTATGTCTCACGCTCTATCAAAGGGCCATCTGTCTCCTCGGCTAGTTTAACTCTGGGTTGCCTTACATCTCCACCTCCACGGGTCAAAACTGTCTTCCCTTCAAAACACATACCTGCCATGATCTACCCCAAGCAAGCTTTGGTTTCACCTTTCACCAAGAGGACAGTCCATCTGACACTCACTGCAGCCGAGTCGATGCCTATGGGACAGGGTAGAGTTTTCCCTGTTAAGTTTCTGAGGCTGAAACTATTTACGGGAGTAGAAAGCCACATCTTTCTCCCGGGAAGCAGCTGGTGGTTTCAAACTGGGCCAGCCAATAGGAGTTACTCATCTCCCACGGTCATTGATGAAAGTCCCCCCCAAATGACTATGAAGAACTGCCAGATGGCCACTATGCGCCTGTAGTCATGATCAGCCAGCCCAGTGACAACATTTCCCTTGTGCTCACTGTAAGCGCCCGCGCTGTGACGTGTGGGCAGGGACGGGACTGCCTGGAAAGGTTTAGGGATCTTTTGTGAGTCTACCGACACCCCGTAACCCACTGCCCCAGCTTACTTTCCTAACCTGTAAAACATGGATGATAGCACTAGCTTTGCTTAGCTCCGGCAAAGCTTTGTAGAAGTCAAATAAGATATATGAAGGTAAGAGAAAAAGCAATGCTATGAAATCTTAGGAATCTGTCTGTATTAAACAAAACCACCAAAATGGGAAGCTGCTGCATTCTGACATGTCCTTGACCTAGGCCTACAGAGTATGGATGGTGGATATTCCATCTCTCTGCCCTTCAACTACGCCGTCCAGCGGCATGTTGGGCATCCTGGAGGGACTCAAGAGCGTGGTCTTTTTCAATGTTCTTTGACTTGGGGGTCCACAAAGAAGTCTGAAGGGGCAAGATCAAGGCTGGACGGTAGGTAGGGTGAGGGTTCCCAAAGACATTCTCAAGGGACAGCCCCTTAAGCCCTGGAAGCGCAAGCAGGTGCATTGTAGGATGGAAAACATTGTCTCCAACAAACGCTCTCGGTTTTGTGGATGCGCCTTGCATCCACTTCAGAGAGCAGACCTCACACTGCATCGCTCTTCCTAATGGAGAAAAGGGCCGAGGAGGCAACACCGTAAGTAACAGCAACAGGGATAACAACCAACTGTGCCCCAAGACCTGCCTGCAGACAGTGGTGAATTCATTTACATATTGATGTCTTTAATCAAGAGAACAAAATTCACATGATAAAGAGGTTTCTAGCCTTGGCAATCCAATGGGGATGTTCTCTCTACTGGGGTCACTGTGAGCCAGAACTGGCAGATGGCAGTGGGTGTGGTTTTGTTTGTTTGTTGTTTGGGCATTATCCCAGTAGACAGTCAACCTGGAGAATTAGGACAATGGAAGGCCATAGCTGTTCAGTTCAAAGTGGTGACAGTGTTACAGGGATCCAGTGAGAGTAGAGACATATATGACCTCAGAGCGTCTTTTAAAATGACAAGCGACCACTCAATACAAAATGCCAACAGCTTTCATATGTCTTGGGAGTGGGGGAATGGATGACCACTGCATATGCAACAGCAGAAACGTACGCAGCAGAGAGAAGGTGTGCTGCTGGCCCAGTGGTTGGCGGCTGGGCTGCTAACCCCAAGGGAAGTAGTTTAAACCCACCTGCAGCACGTTAGGGGGGCAATGGGGACAGTCTGCCTCCCAAACACAGACAGCCTTTGAACGCTGTGGGGCTGCTCTACTCTGTCCCACAGGTTGGTGAGGAGGCAGGGGGTTTGGCCTTTTCTGTTTGGGTAAGGTGAAAAAAAAAAAAAAGAAGCTCTGTATGAGAGACTGGAGCACATAATTGACACCAAGTTTGGGAAAATGGAAAAGAAAGCCTGGGAATGAAGCCGCTGGTGTTGGGTTTTCGGTGGCTGATTTTGGGGAAGATCGCCAGGGTTTTTTCCTGAGGCATCTCCATGTGGACTTGAACCTGCTACCTTTGGGGTCGCAGCCACCCAGGAACTCCAAACTCCCAATTCCAAGCATGAACAACTCAACCACTCACTGAGTTAATTCCAACTCACGGCGACTCTACGGGACAGGTAAAAAGGCCCGGGCAGGTGTCCCATCTGTGGCTGGTGGTTTCCAACCCCACAGACAGCGGCTGAATGCAAAACTGACTACGCCGCCATACACAGAACCAAATCCACTGCCCTTGAGTCAATGCTGACTCAGAGAGACCCCCCTGTGGGTTTCCAACACGGTACCTGTTTGGTGGTTTTGAACTGCCAACCATGCAGATCGCAGGCCCATGTGTAAGCACTATACAACCTGGGCCCCTACGCCTGCACCAGTGGCAGCATTCTGTGTGACAGTGGTAGGAGGGGAGAACTGACGTAAGGGAGCATGGCGTCACAGGCACACTGGGGGCTTCAACCGCACTGATGATGTCTCATTCCTCCAGGTGAGGTGGCAGTTACAAAGGTCCACGCATTTCCCGAAACACAAACATTTCATTATCCCGCTCAGCTTCCCGGTGGCCAGGAAATAACAACAATGTGGTGTGCGGAGGGGTGGGGGTCTACCTGGGGCCCGGTGGCTAAAGGGGTGGGCCCAGTCAAGGTGCTCAGTGCTCCTGAAGGCTCAGCCATTGCCGAGTTTACTGTTTGTCTAAATAAAAAGTACTTCAGCTACCTTCTTATATGGAAATAACTGCAGACTTGCAAAAAGGGGGCAAAGAAGAGTAAAAGACGGTCCTACGGCTTTCCCTCTGCTGGCCTGAGATCATCAAGGGCCACGACTAAGGAAAGCCAACGGTGCAGCCATCCTGTCAACCGAAGGACAGTCTGGCACAGCGTCCCCAGCCTCTACCGGCTCTTCTCACCACTCTCCGTCTGGCTGTTGGTCTGTTGCAGCTCCTGTGTTGCTGTGATGCTGGGAAAAGGATCACTCGTATCTCAAGTACCAACAGACTGACCCAAGGGGAACAGGGTTCCACCGGAGCTTCCAGACGGAGAAGGGACGGTGTAGAAGGAATACAACTGTCCGCGTCTGAGGGACTGGGCACTGAGCACTTTAAGAATGGCGCCCACACACTGCCAGGGAAGACTGAGTGGCGGAAGATGGGCTG